CGAGTGCAGCCATTGGGGCCTTGGGTGGAGCTCCCTACGCGGCCACGAAACGCTGTCCTGGGTGGGGGGGACCGCATCCGAGTATAGCCACCATGGCCTTCGGTGGAATCTCCGCTTGAGCCGAAAAACTTGGTCCTGGTTGGGGGGACCGCATGCGAGTGCAGCCACTTAGACTTCGATGGAATTTCCGATTGAGCCGAGAAGCGCGATCCTGGGCGGAGGGAACCGCATGCGAGTGCAGCCACTGGGGCCTCGTCGGAGCTCCCGACGGGGCCACGAAGCGCTGTCGTGGGCGGAGGGAGCCGCATGCATGTCCGGCCACATGGGCCTTCGGCGGAACTCCCGATGAGGCCACGAAGCACTGGCGTGAGTGCTGGATCGCATTCGAGTGCAGCAACAGGTGCCTTCTGGGGGCTCCCCATGGGGCCAGGAAGCGCTGTTCTGGGTCGGACGTCCGAATGCTAGTGCAGCCACCGGAGCCTTCGGTGGAGCCCATATATGGGGCCACGTAGCGATGTCCTGGGTGGTGGAACCGCATGCGAATGCAGCCACCAGGGCCTTCGGTGGAGCTCCCCATGGGGCCACGAAGTGCGGTCGTGGGTGGGGACGCGCCTGCGAATGCAGCCACCGGTGGAGCTCCCGACGGGGCCACGAAATACGATCCTGGGCGGAGGGGATCGCATGCGAGTGCAGCTGCTCGGGCTCTAGGTGGAGCTCCTTTTCGGGCTACGAAGCGCCGGCCTGCCCATGCTACTGCAGCCGTTGGGGCTCTCGGTAGAAACCCCTATGGCGCCACGAAGCGCAGTACTAGGTGGGGGAGCCGCAAACGAGTGCAGCCACTGGGGTTTTCGGCGGAGCTCCCTACAGAGCCACGAAAAGTTGTCCTGTGTGCGGCAGACGCACGGTGGAAAAGGGAGGAGGGAGAAGGGGGCGAGGAGGTGAGGAGGAAGGAACGCGGGGCACTCTCTTCGAAACGAGGACCTAACACCCCAAGATGGTTGAGAGAGGCGACGCCGGCGAAAAACAAATTGGGGGATGGCCCCCAGAACCGCTCCGAAACTCGGGCATTCCGAAAACATCTGCCCTTTGACCAAGGGCAAAGAAGATGTTGATCCCGCCGGTCTCGTTCCAAAGCGCACAATCGCAATGGCGTGTCCAGACATAGAAAAAGAAACGCCGATAAACATGCGCCCAAGCCCCAACCGCTTCAGTCACACACAATGCCAACCCAGAGCGACATCAAGGCGTTTTCAAACTGCTGCCTGGGCGAAACTTATGGGGAACATTTCACATGCGCAGGCCGCCTTCCGAGAAACGAAAAGACGATCTCGCGCCAGCAAGCGCGCTCAACTTTCGCCCCCCCCGTTGACGCCACCCCCAAGTGGAGCTGAAGGATTGGTGCGGAATGTATCTGACAACCGCCACAAATGTCCGGCCATGCTGTTCTCCGATGGGGGTCGCCGCGGTGAAAGCCCCGTTTTGAAAACCAACACCCTCTAGAACTGTTGTTGCAAATCTCAAGCTTCAGGGCTGCAAAAAGTAAGAAAGTCTCCGGCCCGTCCTACCAACTTGTTTGCGTGCGCGAGTGAGGAAGTTTCCTATCAGGAAATGGAACGGAGGAGCGGAGGAGGAGTGAGGAGCCCGACGACGAAGAGCGGCGGACGGCGACGGCGACCTCTGGGAACCTCTCAAGTCTCGGGAGGTCGATTCCCTGGAGTCCCCGACGGCCTCTGGGAACGGCATCAGCGACGACAGAGATGCGGGCGACGTCATGTGTTTCGCACTGGGCGTTCTCGCCTCGTGTCGGGGCCCAGGACCCTCACGCATCGATCCACCTGAAGAGATGCCGTAGAAAGATGAGGGGCCAGGGCCCTTGTGATGATTTTCCCCGATGCTGCAGCCTTTTCGCAACGCCGGACCTTAGGCAACAACGGCAAGTACTACGACGACCAGCCACTGCGGCAAAAAAGAAAAGCCAACGAGCCCAGACATCCGACGTCGTGATGATTTCACGTGGACCTCTGCAGGTCTCGACAACCCGCGTTTCATCCCGAGCCGCTTTTGGACGGTCCCGTAGCCCAGCGAGGGCCCCTGGAGGTAAATCATCCCGGCAAAGCAACCTAACAGCGATGTGTATAAGCATATCTGGAAGCATTCCCCTTCAGATTCAGGTGAGAATCCAGTTGTAGAATTCTGCTGTTTTCGCAGTCGCAGTCGCAATGACAGTCGCAGTGGCAACGGCCTTAGGATCCAATGGAATCCTAAGGATTCCTAGGGATTCCTAAGGCATCCTTAGGAATCCTTAGGAATCCTTAGGAAATCTTAGGACTCGTTAGGAATCCTGATTCCTAGGTATGCTTAGGGATTCCTAAGGATTCCTGAGGAATCCTAAGGATTCCTGAGGATTCCTGAGGATGCTGAACTATGCCTACGGATTCCTAAGGATGCCTACGGATTCCTAAGGATTCCTAGGGATTCCTATGGATTCCTACGGATGCCTCAGCCTGCCTCAGTTTCAGCCTCAGCCTCAGCCTGCCTCGGCTCGCCTCAGCCTCAGCCTGCCTCGGCCTCAGCCTCAGCCTGCCTCAGCCTCAGCCTCAGCCTGCCTCGGCCTCAGCCTACGTCAGCCTCAGCCTCAGCCTGCCTCAGCCTCAGCCTGCCTCAGCCTCAGCCTCAGCCTCAGCCTGCCTCGGCTTGCCTCAGCCTCAGCCTCAGCCTGCCTCGGCCTCAGCCTGCCTCGGCCTCAGCCTGCCTCGGCCTCAGCCTGCCTCAGCCTCCCCTCCCCCCCCCCCTTCCCCCCCCATTCAGCCTCACCTTGTCTCAGCTTCGGCCTGCCTCGGCCTCATCCTCAGCCTCAGCCTCAGTCTCAGCCTCAGCCTGTCTCGGCCTGAGCCTGCCTCGGCCTCAGCCTCAGCCTGCCTCAGCCTCAGCCTGCCTCAGCCTCAGCCTCAGCCTGCCTCAGCCTCAGCCTGCCTCAGCCTCAGCCTCAGCCTCAGCCTCAGCCTCAGCCTCGGCCTCAGCCTCAGCCTCAGCCTCAGCCTGCATCAGCCTCAGCCTCAGCCTCAGCCTGCATCAGCCTCAGCCTCAGCCTCAGCCTGCCTCAGCCTCAGTCTCAGCCTGCCTCAGCCTCAGCCTCCCTCAGCCTCAGCCTCAACCTACCTCGGCCTCAGCCTGCGTCAGCCTCAGCCTCAGCCTGCGTCAGCCTGAGCCTCAGCCTGCCTCAGCCACAGCCTGCCTCAGCCTCAGCCTCAGCCTCAGCCTCAGCCTGCCTTAGCTTCAGCCTCAGCCTCAACCTGCCTCGGCTTGCCTCAGCCTCAGCCTAAGCCTGCCTCGGCCTCAGCCTCAGCCTCAGCCTGCATCAGCCTCAGCGTCAGCCTCTCAGCCTCAGCCTGCATCAGCCTCAGCCTCAGCCTCAGCCTGCCTCAGCCTCAGTCTCAGCCTGCCTCAGCCTCAGCCTCCCTCAGCCTCAGCCTCAACCTACCTCGGCCTCAGCCTGCGTCAGCCTCAGCCTCAGCCTGCGTCAGCCTCAGCCTGCCTCAGCCTCAGCCTCAGCCTGCCTCGGCGTGCCTCAGCCTCAGCCTCAGCCTGCCTCGGCCTCAGCCTGCCTCGGCCTCAGCCTGCCTCAGCTCGGGCAATCAAAATATTGTACAGGACTGGTGTTCTGGGAACACGAAGAACACGAAATGGCCCACAGTTGGCTCCGGGCAATCAAAATATTGTACAGGAATGGTGTTCTGGGAACACGAAGAACACGAAGCGGCCTAAAATTGGTTCCGGGCATTCAAAATGTAGCCTGGGAATGGTGTTCTGGGAACACGAAGATCACGAAACGGCCTACAGTTGGCTCCGGGCATTCAAAATGTAGCCTGGGAATGGTGTTCCGGGAACACGAAGAACACGAAGTGGCCTACAATTGGCTCCGGGCATTCAAAATGTGGCCTGGGAATGGTGTTCCGGGAACACGAAGAACACGAAGTGGCTTACAATTGGCTCCGGGCATTCAAAATGTAGCCTGGGAATGGTGTTCTGCTGGCTCCGGGCAGTCAAAATGTGGCTCCTGGCAATCAAAATGCGGGGTCCCCGGTTTTCCCCGGCATCCCCCGGATCCTGCCCAGACCCCCCTGGGGAATCAGGATGCTCTCTTTGGACCCCACTAGAAACCTATCAGTCTTCGCTGTTAGGTAAAAACGTCCGAAAAGCCGTCCGGCGTCAACATGCATCCGATGTTGCAATGCGGGTCCCCCGAAGCCCAAAAACAACCTCCTGAGGCCGACAACGACAAAACATCTCCGTCTCCAACTGTGCCAACTTTCCAGCCGTTCAAAACGTTGGGCCCAAGCATCAAGCGCCTTCACTTGTGGGTCCCCGGGACGCTCGGCCCCTCCCCCAAGATCAGCTTATCGTCCCGAGTCGGCTTTGGACGACCATGAGGCCCGCAACTGGCCTCCAGATGCCAAGAACAGCGACAGACTGGCCGCCACGATTTGTCCGAGGCGTCACATGCTTGAAAAGACGATGGGTGTTTCGACCGGGACTCTTGTTTATGGCGCGAGGAGCTCTGCTGATGGGCAACGTTAGGGGGGAACGGCTCAGTGAGGGAACCATCGACATGGATGGAATCGGCGACACATCGCCGAAAGATCGGCGACAGGCCCTCGACGGCGCATCCGCACGCTCCTGGGCGGGGTGGGGCTATCGGGCCCATATCGGTGGTCAATGAACGATTGGGGGTCGATGTATGCCCCACTGTGCCGATCCCGACCCTATCATTACCCCTTAATTTGCGGGTCGTAGCTCGGCTCTCTGGGGACCGTTCGGGACGATCCGGGCACCCCCAGAACGCTCTTGACGAGGAGCATCCCGAGACTGGAAAGCCGCCGAGAACCCACGAAAACGTCGAACACCTCGAACATCGAGCCTCATACTTCGAACCTCGAACGCTGCCCCTCAGCCCGTCCCCCCCCTAACGTTGACCCTCATCTGGGAGGCGGGCGCGCTGCCTCGATCTGCGCGGAGCCCGCCCCGCAAGCCACGGCGAGGATCGTGTGCGCCGGCTGCCCTGGCCTCGGGATCCGGCTGCCGAGGGCTGAAGAGGTGTCCCAGGCGTTACGAGAACCCCAGTCATGCCCAAAAACGGCTCGGGATGAAAAACACCGGCACTGGGGAAACAGTCGGGACTTCCTGGAAACCCGCATTGAAAGCAGCAAGGCATCGGATGTCCGTGACGGTACCTGGTGCTGTCATGCTGCCGCCTTTTCGGCTCCCCAGGTCGGCCATCGTGCCCGTGCTGTCCCACGCTGGGCGGTCGCCCGTCCCCAACCACATCCGAGCGGTTTTGGTCGAGGTGGAGGAGGGGTAGGAAAAGGAGGAGATGGAGGACAAGGAGGAGGAGGAGGAGGAGGAGGAGGAGAAGGAGGGGGAAGAGTAGCGGGATCGAGTAGGATCGACGATGAGCAGGTTCGAGGAAGATCGAGGACAGAGGAGTTGTTCATCTGCCCGGCTCGAGCTCACGATCAAGCAGGGTTGCCTCGATCAACTCCTGTCCCTCGATTGGCTGCTCCTCCTCCTCGTCCTCCTTCTCCTCCTCCTCCTTCTCCTCCTCCTCCTGCTCCTCCTCATCTTCTCCTTCTCCTCCTCTCCTCCTCCTTCTCACGTTGGCTGGGAAAAACGGCTTCCACAAAATGATGCGCGAGAGCCCGCCCCAAGCACCAGGAGGACAACCAGACGACCAACTACGATTCACCGACAACCTCACGAAGAAAGAGCGGCGGGACATGAAGCAACTCGGCTTCACCAAATACCACCTCAACCGCCTCCTGGGCATCCCGCTCGAGGATATCCGCATCATGAGGGACACGCTCTTGGTTAAGGTTCTGGGGAAACTGGCGGCCACCATCGTGAACGGAGAGATCGAGTACCACAACCGGGGCGAGGTGAAGGTATCTGTGAGCCAATATATGCGCGAATGGGACGCTAAAGGCCCAAAAAACGAGTGAAGCGGGTGCGGTTCTATGCCGCCCCGGACAGTTTTGAAGATTTGTGCAATTCCAATTTTAATTTGTATCTGGGTTCATTTCTCCCCCTTCCTCCCTTCCCCTCTCCCTCTCTGCCTGGTGGTGGTGCAAAAACGCCCCTCCACGAGAATACCAATGTCTTCCAGAATTCAGAGCGAGACGAATTCGGTGATTTTTCTCCCTCCCCAAACCATCAGGAACTCAGCCCTCAGGACCAGCAGCTTCGACACCAACGTCGCGACCATCTACAACCCCAGCGCGGACGAGCAGCACAGGATGTGGCATAACTATGTTTGCAAATGCCGACGGTGCAATGCGACCTCCAGCACCAACCGCGCCGACCCCAACCGACCGGCAGCGCCCAGCACCACCAACCGACCAGCACCGACTAACACCACGGCAAACAACGCCGACCCCAACCGACCGGCAGCGCACACCACCACCCACCACCGAACAGCGAGCACCAGCGAGCACCAGCAACACCACCACAAGCAACACAGACTCCAGCCGACCAACAGCGCCCACTACCACCAACCGACCACCGACCAGCATCACAGCAAGCAGCACCGACCCAAACCGACCAGCAGCTCCCACCGCCAAACACCACCGACCAGCGACAACAAGCAACACCACCGCAAGCAGCACAGACTCCAGCCGACCAGCAGCGTCCACCACCACCGCCCACCGACCAACACCGACCAGCATCACAGCAAGCAGCACCGACCCCAACCAACCAGCAACGCCCACCGCCACCCACCACCGACCAGCGACAACAAGCAACACCGCCGCAAGCAACACTGACTCCAGCCGACCAGCAGCGCCCGCCACCACCCACCGACCACCGACCAGCATCACAGCAAGCAGCGCCGACCGAAAGCTACCAGCAACACCCACCAGCGCCCACCGTCGACGACCACCAACCAGCAACGCCACCGCAAGCACCACAGACTCCAGCCAACCACCAGCGCCCACCACCACCCACCGACCAACACAAACCAGCACCACGACAAGTAGCACCAACACCAACCGACCAGCAGCGTCAACTGCCACCCACCACTGACCAACGACAACCAGCAAAACCACCACAAACAGCACAGACTCCAACCGACAATCAGCGCCCACCACCACCAGCCGACCAGCACCGACCAGCATCACAGCAAGCAGCTCCGACCCCAACCGACTGGCAACAATCACCGTCACCTACCACCAACCACAACCGACCAGCAACACCACCACAAGCAGCGCAGACCCCAGCCGACCAGCAGCGCGCAACATCACCCGCCAACCACCGACCAACACCACAGCAAGCAACACCGACCCCAACCGACCAAGGACACCCACCAGCGCCCACCGACGACCAGCACCGACCAGCAGCGCCACCGCAAACAGCACAGACTCTAGCCGACCAGCAGTACACCGCCCACCAACACCCAATACCGACCAGCACCGACCAGCATCACAACAAGCAGCACCGACTTCGACCGACAGACAACAGGCGCCAACCCCCAACACCGACCACCACGGGACAGCGACAACACACGCAGCACCGACCCCAACCGATCAGCACCACCCACCACCACCTACGGTTGACCACCACCGACCAGAACCACCACAAGCAGCGCCGACCTCAACAGACTCACAGCGCCAATCACCATTCACAACCGACCACTGACCAACAGCGTCGACCAACCCTCTCCCTCCCCTCCCCCCCCTCCCTCCTCCCCTCCCATCCCCCGTCCCCTCTCCTTCCCCCTCGATCCAACCCGATCCGACGCATCAAGAAGCAAATTGTGACGAGTCTGGCATCATCGATTTCACAGTCATCCACAAAAATGCGAGATCCCTGGAGACGAACGACCGGACCGATGAACTCTTACATGATTTACGTGGTTTGCATTGGGACGCAGTTCTGATCAACGAAACGTGGCGGACGATAGCACGTGAGCTATGGATCACAACAAATGGACACACGTTTGCGGGTTCTGTCAAAGAGAGTCGTTCCCACGGAATCGCAATCCTTTCGCACAAGCGTTGGACCAAACACGCGTCAGAGTTCCAGGCCATCAATGCGAGAACCGCGGCGCTCAACATCGGGAAGAGGAAGCTTCGACTACAATTGATATCGGCGTACTTTCCGCACACTGGGTATACGGGCCATCACATGCAGCAGTTGTACGACACCGCCAGCGTTCTAGTCAGTGAAGCACGTTCCCGACGCATGCGCACAATCATGGGCGCCGACTTCAACGCCCAAATTGGTTCCCAACCGCGCTCCCCGAATGGACATCCGAATGGCGACGCTGACTTTGCGCGGCCCCGATCCGACATGCGTTCTCGCTACGTTGGGCCCCGCGGGTTCGGCGACGAAAACTCCCGACGCCAACGGTTACGACATTGGGCTACGAACGAGAGGCTTGCAATCATGAGCATGTTTTCCGCAAGCGCCCACACAAACTGATCGCCTACACAACGACACGCGGTAAACCTCGGCAAAACGACCACATACTAGTGGACAGGCGCTTGCTACCTCCATGCCGGAACGCCGAAGCCAGCAACGCCATTGACCTTTGTGATATGGAAGATAGTCTATGGATCTTCTTATTCGCGGCGCCGCGAGGGGCGCAGCTCCAAGGCCAAGAGCCCTAATTCGAAATAAAAATGGCAGCGGCGAGCAAGGAATGAAACCACAGGCCCCTCGAGGCTTCTGGGGGGAACCCTCTCGGGCCTCTTATATTCCTGGGGGGTGAGCTTGATTCGCACTCCTCCTAGTCGCCGTCTCTGCGCCCCCATCTCGGGCAGCTGAGCGGGGACAATGACAAGTCACTCGCCAGGAGATGATTATCGAGATGCTCTATAGCAAGCAAACGGCTTGAAACGGATACAAAGCATACAGCTCTCAGCGCCGCTGGCGCTTGATCAAAGGCAAAGCTAACGATGGCGAGGAGTTCGATCGCGAAGCGACAAATACCCAACACCTATAGCCATATTATCGGGATAAGATCTACATACTGAACGAGCGCGATCGTCATCGCATCTAGAAAACTGCGCGCACTGAAACGAACGAATCTTCTCAACAAAAGAAAAACGCGGAATTACGCGTGGATCTTTGGCCGGGCATAAAATCTGAGCGGCAATGCGGAATACATGAATATTTCCTGGCGTAAAATCTGAGCAGCAATGCGGAATGCATAATCCTTGCCGGGCGTAAAATCTGAGCAATAATGCGGAATGCACAGTCCTTGTCGGGCGTAAAATCTGAGCAACAGAATATTGCCGGTCCGATCGGCCAATCTGCCGTCCGAAGAATTGGGGGGGTCACTTTTCCATCTTTGGCTTCGCCGGTTTGTCCGTCAGGTCGGATCCTCGCCAAGTGTCTCTGCCTGTGGGCTTCCACCATCGGCCCTTGAGATCGTTCATCGCACTCTGCGGGGAAATCGTGAAATCGGGGTTGCCGAAATGACCATGCCGAACCAGCCACGAAGCGTGCTTCTTGAGAGTCTTGCACGTGATGTACACACTGTGCGGGTTGTGGCCGACGACAACATCACGATGGGGAATGCCGGTCGCACAACTGAGCACGTCATTCGGATGCAACATCGGTGAGTAGCCGCTCCATTATACAACGCTGGCTGATGAGGCTGACACGGAACTCTATGAACTCGTCGCAGAAAAGACGGTTGGTGATGCGAGGGCCGTACATGTCTGCGACTCTGCTGATCTTGATCGTCCAGATCCCCGTGCTGATGCTGCAGTATACGGTGATGGCGTTGCGCTGGCAGGTGGTGGTTATGTCGGCACCTGTGGCGGCGGCTGTTGAATTGCAGCCGATGCTACTGAACTTGATGCCAGTGCGCTGCTGAACGCGTCCGCGTGGGACATCGTGATGTCACCATCGTGATCACGATCCACTGGGATCGTAGGTGGTATGTTGCGGAGTCGGCCGAGCACGCTGCCGCCCCAGCCAGGGTGATCGCCCATGGCCCTCGCCTCGGCGGCGCTCTCCTCGTTGGCGATCGCGTTGTTCTGCCTCAGGATCGTCCAGGGCGTCAT